TATCAATACTCTAAACTTTGTAGCATTTTCTGAATGATCACGTAGGTACATCTTGTTTAATATCACATTGAGAGCATCCTGATTTACAGTGTTTCAACTAATAATGTCATGTAACATCTTTTTCTTGTTCTCTCTTTTTTTTTTGAAGAGATATGTCTGTTTTGGGGAATTATAACATTATTTTCCCTTGCAAGGGCTCATCCTTGATATTTCTGCCGCCACCTTCATCCCAATAAAAGCGTTAAATTATTTCCTTTACCTACAACATCATGTTAATGCATTAACAGTTTTCATTTATACAGATCATCCGACTATAGCTGCTCTCATAGCATATAGATGGTCAAATTTAGATTATATTTTTGAATAACTGAAAACTGCTATTTTCCTATGTAAGAAAATAAAGTTGAAAAACAAAACAAAAAAAAGAACCTTTTGGAAAAGCTGTGATATGTCACTTTTAAGGTTTAGACAAGTCACAATGTAGTCTCTTCAGTATATCTATCATTTATCTAAATGTCAAAGTGCAATCAAAGTGAATGCATTATATAATATTTCATTTGGTAACATTTCAGAATGAGTTTCTTTTCACTCAAATAGTATTTTATATGTATTGATGGGTTATGTCATTTTATTATGGTCATAGGTGAAATGAGACCGTCATGAGATGATCTACAGTGAGTATAGAAAAGAACCTCCCCCCCTTTAAAATAACCACAGTTTGTTGCTTTGTAACCTGAAATGAAGATGGACAGTTTGTTTTATCCAGCTGTATTTACTCAGTGCAACTTATATAACACCAACATGTCAGGAAAAACACAGAATCACAGAGTTGGAAAAAGGATCACCCCCTTGTGTCAGTATTTTGTTGAACCACCTTTTGCTTTAATCACAGGCCGTGCAAGAACATTCACCTTTTTCTCCTTCAACCACTGTGTGCTCAGTTTTGCTGTGTGCTCTGGGTCATTGTCATGTTCGAAGGTAAACCTTCTTCCCATTTACAACTTTCTGTCAGAGGGCAGCAGATTTTCCTCTAGAATTTGATGATATTTTGCCCCATCCCTGTTTCCTTCTATCCTGACGAGTGCTCCAGTCCCTGCTGCAGAGAAACACCCCAAAACAGGATTTTACCAGCTCTGTGCTCTACTGGAGGATTGCTGTTGTTTGGATGGTGAGCTGTACTGGATTTCTGCCAGACATTTCATTTGGTGTTGAGGCCAAATAATTCAATTTTAGTCTAATCTCATCTTCAAGGTGTGTTTTGGCAAAGCTCAGTCGTGACTGCATGTGGCCTTTCTTGAGGAGTGGCTTTTTTTCTTGCAATCCTCCCATATTTGTGGAGAAGTTGTGATATTTTTGACACATGCACACAATGACCACTCTTTGTCATAAATTCCTGCAGCCGCTTCAGAGTTGCTGTAGTAGGCCTCTTGGTCGCCTCGCTGACCAGTTTCCTTCTGGCTCTTTCATCCAGTTTGGAGCGACGTCCTGATCCAGGGAGGGTCTGTGTTGTACCAAATACTAGTAATGTTACGTTCTGTGCCGAGGCTTCGAAGCGTGTGTCGAGAAATCCCGGCAGCTTTCAGTGAAGCACGTATCGAGGCTTGTATCGCTTTAGAGCAATGATGACGTCCGAAGCCTCACTTGGCCTGACTAGTTCAGGAAGCGGTTCGAATCTTGTAAATTCACAGTTTTCTTACCCTGTTAAACTCAGCCACTTTCCAGTTTTAGACTAATAATATTGCCCCTCCTGCCTATTACGAGCAAAGGCTTGATTTACACACATTTGATAGCCCCATTCATTTCAAGCCGATACGTTTATTACACAATTATGTTGTATTATGTTATACAATCATCATAAAATACACATTATATTCATATAAATAGATTAGTCTATGTGGAAATCGATTTTTTTCTTCTTCACCGTTATTTCTAAGCCTTAACTGGCACAAAACTGTGTATCATATCATCTGTAATGTATCTGCATGTTTTACACTCTTTGGTCATCAGGTGGTATTGTGAGCAAATGAAGCCTCGAGAAATGAACCCTTTTGTGAACCGCTTGGATGAGAAGCTTCTATGCTTTACGAGGCTTCTTCTCGCCATCACTACCAAATACCTTCCACTTCTTAATAATAGACTTCACTGTGCTTCTAGGCTTTGATAAAGCCTATGAAATGAAATGACTTGTGCACAACTTTATCCCGGCGATCTTTTGACAGTGCCCTGCCACCCATAGTTGATTGTTTGCTTCAGTTACACTACCAAGAACAGAAATGCTCCAGCTAATCAAAATGAGCACAGCTGATCACAGATAAAAGTCAAATGGCTTTGTGTGCCATTGAGAAGGTGATTAGCTACACCTGATTGAGTTTACAAATCATTTTTACAAGGGGGGTGATCCTTTTTCCATCTCAGTGATTCTGTTATTTTTTATTTTATTTTCTGACATGTTATAAGTTGCACTTAGTAAATACAGTTGGATAAATCAAAAACTGTGTCTATCTTCGTTTCAGGCTGCAAAGCAACAGAATGTGATTATTTTAAAGGCGTCTGATTCTTTTCTATACCCACCAGTGTTGCCAACTTAGCAATTTTGTTGCTAGATTTAGCAACTTTTCAGACTAGCCTAGCAACTTTTTCTTCCAAAAGCACCTAGCAACAAATTTTGCAATTTATTTAAATTTATTTGGCAACATTTAGCAACTTTTGATAAGTGACTCAAACGATACAAAAAGGCACACATTTTCCATCTAAATGACACAAAAAGAGGAAACCAAAGGCGCCTAGCAGTACACGCATCACATGAAATAAGTTGGCTGCTATTAGCAATTGTTTAATTTAATAATAATAATTGAATAATTGTTCATTTATGATACACCTTGTTAGTAGCTTGTACTTGAGTTTGATGATATGTTAGTGCACGGTAAGAAAAATATCTAGAAAAATGTAGTAATTTTCCAGGACATTATCCATTGTAACCCTGTAACCCGAAAACACAAAATTTACACGTAATTTAAAATGTAGGTAAAAAAATGTGTGAATAATAATTACGGAAAATTAGAATAGATTTTGCCCTATTTTTACAGACTTTTCTTAGAGTGTAGCATACGAACTACTAATACACGGCTTAAATCTATAATTGTTCAGAATGAGTAGTTTTACTAGTTTACTTGCTAATAAAAATTTTAATAAATTGTAATTGTTAAAAAAATTTGAAAGTGTTAAATAATTCAATGTTGTATTTAAAATTAGTTATTTATATTTTAATATTATATTATGCATTTATATTATTTTATAAACACATCTAAATTAACATATTTACTTTTTTT